GCAGCAGTAGTAGTAGTAGCAGCAGCAGCAGTAGTAGTCGTCGTCGTAGTCGCAGTCGTAGTCACAAGTCGTAGTCGTAGTAGTAGAAGTAGTAGTAGTAGTAGTAGTAGTAGTAGTAGTTGTTGTTGTAGTTGTTGTTGTTGTTGTCGTTGTCGTTGTTGTTGTCAAAGCTAATCACAGTAGCAGTAGCAGCAGCAGCAGCAGCAATAAAAAAATAGGTGGTAATAGTCGTTGTCGTAGTATGCTGGTATCGGTACAGTGACTATGCACTAATTACAAACCAGTCTTACAACCTCTTCCCGGACCCCTGCTCCTTCTGTTGGATAAACACAGCTCTGACCAGGAAGAAGCAGCCCGACGTTCGGTAAATGCAACCCATCAAAAGCCCCAAACTTATCGCACAAACTTACACCCTGCAGCGAAGTAAAACATTTCGTGGCTGAGTATGTCACCAAATATTCTGTCAATCCTCGAATGCTAACGAGTATGTCTAATTATTTGACACCCAAGTCAATATCTGCCTGGCGGCTCTACCTGAGCAAGCCTTTCCTGCGGGTCATCGGAAAGTCCAGCCAGGATGGAAGAAGATGCCGTCGGCGGCGGCAGCGGCTGAACGGCTGTGGCTGGACAGTAGGCTGAAGGAGGTGGTGGGCTTCCACAACGAATCCCTAGGCTTCTCACAAGTCCTTGCTCCAGCACGGAATCCAGTGCATCATCTCGCACCGTTTCAGCATTAGCATCGTCATCATCATCAGGGACTAGTGCTTCCTGCGTATGCTCATCGACTTCATCATCTTCGGCTGCTCCTGTATCCTCGCCTTCTCCTTCATCCCCGATTGCTCCTACATCCTCCCCTTCCTCTTCGACCTCCTCGGCTGCAACTGATTTCTTGCGGGGCTTTGGAGGCCAATACTGGACCACAAAGTCGAACAACTCCCGAAGCCTGGTGTCCTCAGATTTACATGGATTTGCAAAAACAGTAAAGACCTAGCCTGCCCGAACAAAGCCCCCCTATGTGATACGGGTCCGGCGAACTGCTCAAGTGGGCTTGTCGGTGCTAAGGGTTCATTGGCTTAAGTTTTGGATAGTACTTTGTGGTGTGATGCCAAACGAGCAATAGAATAAGCCCAGCCCAACTCTTTATGTACTGGATATCAGCAAAGAATCTCGACGTTTTGAACCATCATTCCGCCGGTTGATCAAGGAAAGCAGGCTTCTTAGTGCAACTCCTTCGCAATGCTCCAGCCCCACATCCGGCTTTAGACCGAGGATCTCTCTGAAAAGTTTCACCTTCAGCGGTCCGATGAAAGGAAAAAGATGTTCGCTCTCGTAGGCCTAAGCTTCTTAAGTTGTTGAAGCACCCCAACCTCATTCTTGATCGGATCGAGCGGCGAGGTCTTGTTCACACGGGCATTGGGAACATAAAGCTGCACTAAGGGCCATATGACATCGAGGTTCAACTTCAGGGTCCTCATTGTAACGACACCTACTTTGTTGGGTGCGATCCATGTGAGCAAGCTCTTTGATCTCGTGGCGTGCCGCCTTACCCTTTTATCATCTTCCCAAAGGTTGGCCAGAGTGCTCAAGTTGACCGGCACACACTCGTCGTCTGCCTCTACCATAGCATCGGCTTCGCCAGCCGCAGGCATGGCAACGACTTCAGGCATGACAACAAGCAAAATATTTTGGAATGAGGCGTGATTTGGACACCCAGTGGCCCTGAAGTGAACCCATGTTTTCGGCCCAAGTTCTCAACGTCCGAACCGATATGTTGCAACAAATGCAAATGCAGCAGCTGCCACAATCAACATCAACTGAACTATGTCTGCGGGGCGGATGGGGCACGTCTCGTCCTCGTTGGCCTGGGAATCGGCGGTGAGTGCTTACGGTTTTGAAACCATAATTTATTATAACCAAGCTCAGCCATCGACCCGGCAACCAATTCAGGCTCTCGGTCATGTGCGTAGCAACTGCGAGCAACTATCCGAATCACCAGTCCTGATGTAATTTTGAGAATTGCACTGGCCTGCTGCATCACGAAAGAATGTCAAGGCAATGCGAACCTGTGACGAGGCGGAAATGGCTTAGGGAAATACTCTGAAAGTTATCAACCAATAAGTAATGAGATCTGTGCGAATCAGTTTCGGGCCTCTGGGCGAACGGTAGCTTCGGCAACTGCTGCGACATCGGCAAAGGTCACCTGCGAGGGGATGCGAACTCGATTTCACTTTAATGGGTGTGCCCCCGACACTTGGAATTCAAGGTGGTTCATTTCCAGCGGAACAGCAGCTGCCGAGGCCGTGCTTGTCTACTGATTGAAATCGTTGCCCTCACATGCTTTAACCTTTTCAGGCGACAACGGCGGCGAGCACACACCTTAAGCAACTGTCCGGCCGAAGCAATCATAGACGACATCCGCCTAAATTTCAATTCCCACTTCCATCAAGCGGCGTTTCTCGGCCTTCCAAAACACCCGAGCCAGCTCTTTGACATAGCCACCCGATTGGTAGTTGTCGACGATGGCTTGGATCTTGCAACGAGCTGGCACATCCTGGGAAAGCTGGTTGATGGGGATCTTTGACCTTCGTAGTCTAACATACTTAAATAACGACAAGATTCTTCTATCTGCTCTGCCGGCCATAAGACTTGCTGTACTTCAGCGAACCATTCCATCGGCATTTGATGGAGGCCTAACAACAAGCAACATTAAAGGATTGCACAACGATCAGAATTCACGGATTGGGTGCCTGCACCCTGCAGCAGCAGATAGCTTTCTGCATCCAACGGCAATGCCATGGTAGCAGCCCAAATCGAAATCAACAGCTCGAGCCGAAACTACACATCCCTCCAGCTGCCAACATCGAAAGGTGCAGGCAACAAAGTCACAGCGGCACAGGGGGGGGCTCACCTTGAAGCAACGAGCCGGCAAACCCATGGAACCAGGGTTCGTTCGTGTTTCATACTTCACTACGAGTATGACTCTTTATGTGATATTGGATGTCGATAATCTCTAAATGCTCTTGTTGTGGGAAAGGCAGGAGCCTGTTGGGACTGTAGTGTTTATGGTTTTTGGGTGCAGGGTTTTTCAGATTTAGGTAGTTACGGCTTTGTGTTTCCAAGGGATTGAAGACTTGGGGCTTCAGGGCCTGAGGGCAGGAGATTTGGGAGTTTGAGGCTTTGGCTGATATGGTTTCATGGCACCACACACCTATCTTCAGGTTGACTTTGTTTTCGATGGAGCCAGTCAAAGTCTTAAAACATATTCAGCCGCAGATAAACAAGAATTGCCTCAATATCTTGTTCTTAAGAAGTTTACGCCTCAATTCGAAAAAGGCGCCTTTTCTGGGTTGAGGCATTTAATTCGGGCGTAAGGAGCTAGCAGGTATATAGGAAGGCTGACGCAGATCAAAGTTAATACGCCGCAGGAGGCCTTCTCCGTTTACTGTGCGCTCCACGGCTGTCAGATCATGCGCGGCATCCGCCGTTGCCCATCAACAGACGAACTCCTGCGGTGGTTCGAAGAGGGCCTGCAGTTGCCAAAAGGCAAAGACGCTGCGGTGCAAAGAAAACACAAAGGCTCATTCCCTGACGGCGAGCCAGCGGCGTGATACGATTCTGCTGGGCGTCATTGAGCCCCGCGCTAGTTTTTTTCGGCTGACAGCCAGAGTGCCAGTTCGTGCGTCCGGCTGCCAGCCACCGCAAGCAGTGCCTGACCACAGACCACAGCCAGCTGTGAGCGAAGGGTTCAGGCCCGGGGGTAAGAATCCTGCAAGCCTAGGCTGTTAGGATTGCTTTTGTTTCACCGCCAGCAAGAGAGTTGCCAGAGAAGTGGAAACATCGCCGCGCCATCAGAGTGAGTCATGCAACTTGTTTTTGTTTGTTTGCAGGGGGGGGCAGGACGGGCGCCAAAATGGCTCACACGGCATCTCACTTTGGCTCTCAAGGCATG